AGGAGCAGCCCTCTGGGGCCCTGCGAGGAATTTGCATCACAAACGCCAAAGGGGCCGACCTTCTTGGGCTTTGTTGGGGGTTGTGTGGCAGAAAATTCCTTATGCTGAAACTCCGCCTCGCCATCCCTTTTTGCTTTGCCTCTGTGTCTTTGTCCATCACTCTCATAATAGAAATAAGAAGGCGTCATACAGCCTGTTTAAAGAAGAGGTTGTCTTCTGCTGGGGAAAGGATGCCACAGCTTGGGCTAAGGTGAGGGGCTTCTGATCACTCTGAAGCATCGTCTTTGGAGAATCATTTGTTCTCTGGTTTATGTTTCTTTTAAAGTGGATATATATGGAGACAGAGAAAGAGAGAGAGGGAAAAGGAGAAGGAGAGAGAGAGAGAACTTCAGATAAGAAAACAGACATCACAACAAAAAATTCTGCTTATGTTTCTCTGAAGCCAAGGTGAGGAAGTAGAGAAGTGAGGAACACTGTTCTCTTTGTACTCTGGCCAAGAACTTTCTAAAGCCAGAGTCTGTTACAGCGGTTAGAACACACACACACACACACACACATGTACGCTTATATATACCTAAGGATGCACAGGCCTGAGGCCAGACACACACACACACACACACACACACTTGTATATACCTAAGGATGCACAGGCCTGAGGCCAGACACACACACACACACACACACACACACACACACTTGTATATACCTAAGGATGCACAGGCCTGAGGCCAGACACACACACACACACACACACACACTTGTATATACCTAAGGATGCACAGGCCTGAGGCCAGACACACACACACACACACACACACACACACTTGTATATACCTAAGGATGCACAGGCCTGAGGCCAGAAGGTTATTCTGAAAAATTGCATTGATTGCTTTATATATTTCACACACACACCTCTGACAAGCATTAATTTTGAAGCAGTTCTGTTAAAAGATTAACTGACCCATAGGAAAACATTTTTAGAGTATATTTGAACAGAAATCAGTTAGAATTGGTCAGTGCCAAACTGGAAGTGGTTAGGAACACTCTATCCACAGGAGCTGGTGGGGGAGGGAAGAGTCTCTTACAGAAAAGTGGAAATAAAGCAAGGGCCTTGTTAGACTGTTAGTCACGTCTGGTTGCTTGTCCTTAGGTTTCCATTTCCTAACCTGGCGGCATTTGTAGGTTTCGGGTTTTGGACTGATTATATAGGCAGCCAGAGTATTAGAGCCGCCTCCTCTAAAGGGTGGCTTGTTCAATTAGTTTAACAGTTCCAAACTTAATGGAAAAGCTGCAAGATCAAGTTTCACCAGTTGTCCTGATTGTGTCCTTTACAAAGATCTAACCCCGGAGAGCCCCGTGCACCCAGTTGTCCTACCTTCTCCTAATTGTTACAGGAAGGGGGACCTTTTCCAGGTCTGGACAGTAGGTTCTTGTCGAACACTCAAAAATGAATTGTTCCAGGAGACAGTACTGACAAAGTAAAAGAAAAAACACTTTATTGGGAAGGGTTGCCTGGACAGAGAGCAGCAAGGTGGTACAGGAACCCAGAATAACTGCTCTGCCTCGTGGGTCACAATCTCAGGTTTTATGGTTATGTGTAGTTTCTGGGTTGCCTCCGGGCAATCATTTTGCCCATATTTGGTCTGACTCAGCATCCTTCCTGATGGTGCGTGCAATCTCTCAGTCAAGATGGATTCCAGCAAGGATTTTGGGAGGTTGGTAGGACATATGGACTGGCTTCTCCACCCTCTTTGGACCCCTCCTGAATTCTCCTGGTTAGTTTTTGGTGGCAGCACCTTCCTCCATATTGGGACCTCCTGTTGCCAGACAACTCATGTAAGTTTCAATCACTGGTTCCCTAGTATAATCTCTTGTAGTCTGGAGCTATTCCTTAATCTTTCCTTTTCTGTCATGACTTTGACACTTTCAAGATCATAGGTCAGCCATCTTTAGAATATTCTCCAATTGAGGTTTATTAAAAAGTAGTTAATTAAAAGGTAATTATCAGGGAAAGATAAAAGCATGGCTTTCATACAGATATAAAATTGAACATATGTTACAAGAATGTATGTTATTCATTTGATATGAGGGAACTGGGCAGATGTTTTCACCCATTCAAAGGAAGCTTCAAAGGACACAAATCTGCATGAAACAGAGGAATATTGAAATGAATTGCAAATGGAGACAAAACTGGTTTTTCACCTGCAGGGAAGAAGTCGGTTAAATCACTTCTAGACAAAACTGTGGACACTAATTTCCCTTTGAAACATAAATTCTCTTTTTCTATAGGTTTATCCAATGTTTTCTTGTTTTAGAAAATGTATGTGTTTGTCTAGAATATCACAAATGCTTGTGTTTGTTTCTTTGCATCCTATTAATTGCACATGATATCTCTGTCTTATTATTGATGTTCACTTTGACCACTTGTTAAGATACTGCCTTCCAAGTATCTCCCAGTAATACTTTTTACCCCTTTTGTAAATAATTAAGAGAAAATCTTGAGTAGTTACCCATGGGAAGTGGAAAGTGGTACAAATCAGATTTATATATTTTTCCCTAGAGACTTAGTTCTTCAGCAGTACCAGCACACTACCTTTAAAGCAATGTAGGCCCATTCGTTCTTGTTTTATTCCCTGGGCTATAACTCATAACCGTTATTATTTATCGTGATGCTCAGTTTGTCCCCAACATGGCTTTGGAAACTTCTTCAAGCTGTTTTCTGTGTCCTACCTTGTTTCCTATTATTCTTTGAGCATTTCTGTACTTTTTGGCTCAACAAAATGTTCTGGACTTTTCTTGGTCTTTTCTTGCCCCAGTCCTGGCCAGAGTCATTTCTCCAAGGAGCCCCAGTTCCTTTTAGTGGAGAGTAGTGTTTGGCTCTTGCGAAAGGGCCCAAACTCTGCTCAGGCTTGCCTTTCCATGGCCACCTACTTCCTTTACTCTGCCCATGGCAATTTGAAGGAGAAGAAAAGGAAGCTAATATAGATCTGGGTGAAACATGTCCTCCAGCCATCTCAGCTGAAAAAAGACATTAGAACCATCAAACCATAAACCACTGCAGGTGCACCCCACCCAATAGGGATTCCTGGTGGAAAAAAACAGGATACTGGCCCTAGATAGCTAAGTGAAGTGAAAGTCGCCCAGTCATGTCCAACTCTTTGTGATTCCATGGACTATGTAGCCCACCAGGCTCCTTTGTCCATGGGATTTCCCAAGCAAGAATACTGGGATGGGTTGCCATTTCCTTCACTAGATAGTTAAGGTGCATATCAAAGGAATGATTTCAATGAGCCCAGACTCTTACATCTTCTAGTACTTAGAAAAACACTAAATCCACTTGCTTAAGAAGTCTGATTTGTCTTTATTTAACAGTAATCTTGATGTTCTGACTACCTGGTTTTTGTTGCAAAAATTCCTTTGTATACTGATTCCTCCCTTAAGGCCTTGGAGCAGTCCCTCAGAAGCAATCTGAGAGGCTGTACTATGGGCTTAAGTCCAAGTCCTTCAAATAGAACAAAATCCTCAACTCTTAGGTAGTGCATTTATTCATATATATTCATTACATATATTCATTATATATATAATATATAATTTAATTAATTATATATATTATTTACTGATAAAGCTAAGTAAAAGAGGAGGAAGAGGAAGATTACATACATTTTTAACTCCCCAGTTTTATCAAATACTAGATCTGATCACCTCGTGGTCATTTGGGTTTCTGAAGTGGTTACATTTACATTTATGTGGTTGAAATGTGAAACTTAACTTCTTCTGAATTGAATACCTACTCTGCAGGTGCCTGATGGTATAGTTAGTAGTTGAGTTACAGAGTCAGCCTTTGCCTTCATGGTGCTGGGAGGACTGTGAGATGTCCTAAGTCAAATGCCTGGTGTGTTCTTAGCACTGCAGACGTGGGTGCCACACTCAGTCCAGTCAAGGAAGGGAAATCAGAGGTCAGGGAGGCTTCACAGAGGTCAGGGAGCCTGGAGTGAATGTGGGATAGGGTTTGGCTAGTCTGACAAGGAGGGGAAGGATATTCCCCATTAAGGGAAGAACACACTTAATGCCAAAGAGATTTGGCAGGCTTGAGGAATGGGAAGTGGTTTGATAAGGATAGAATCACTTATTACCTAATTTTTTTGACCTAATCTTTAGTTTTTTAAGAAGCATAAGTGTCCTTTTTTGCAGACAAGTTTTGTCGATTGTGAACTTTTTTTGCAGCCTCCAGTCCTTGAGTTCCAGCTGTCATTCAAGACTACTGCACTCCTCATAATGTCTTCCTTCAGAAGAAGCAGTTTTTTTTTTTTTCTCTAAGAAAAGAGGAAGTAGAATTAGTGGGCATTTTACCAAAGAAAGATAATCAACTATTTCTGTTCTGTTGAGCATATACTTAAGAACAACTGGATTAAGGCTGTGGGGCTCTACTTTTTCATTGAAAATATGCTCCCCCTTATTTCTAGTGATGTCCCCCTTGGTTGAATATATACTCATTCTGAGCCAAAGGGAGTGTTTTTGTTGCCTTTGTGTGCGTGCTCAGTCACTAAGTTGTGTCTGACTCTTTGCGACCCCATAGGCTATAGCCCACTAGGCTCCTCTGCCAATGAAATTTTTCAGGCAAGATACTGGAGTGGGTTGCCATTTCCTCCTTCAGGGGATCTTCCTGACCCTGGGATCAAACCCCGTCGTCTTCAGTGGCTCCTGCATTGCAGGTGGATTCTTTACCACTGAGCCACCTGGGAAGCCCCTTTTGTTGCCTTTATTCAAAAGTAAATGCATTAGGTTGGTTATAGTAGTTTAATCCCTATTTTTGATTGTTTTGTGTCATTAATAAACATCAATTTATTACTTGGAGAAATGTTTTGAAATGAATTAACTGCCCTTAATGGCTGTTAAACCTGTCATATAGCTCACTCTGGGCTTTCTTCATGATATGTAATTTGTGTAAAATTCATTGCTGTCATGCATGCTCCTTACATAGTTGTTTTTGAATTTTACAGACGATACCAGAAATTGCAGAAGATCATGAAGCCTTGGTAAGAATTTCTGATCTGTTGATATAGATGATGTAACACTTCCTTCTTCTCTGAATAATTAAACTCTGTCCTCTGATTGTGTAACTATGTGTCTAGATATTTTGAGTGATTTTTTTTTTTGCTCTCTTTTTGATGTTCTTATAAACAGGTTCTTTAAAAAATTATTTCCCTTTTCTTTTTGCTTTGTGGTAGAGAGTGTTTTATGTTTGTAACCACAGAATGATCACATCAGGATTGCTACCCTTCTCTTGGAGCAAGGCTAGGCATAATTTTATGTATTACTTTAAACAAAACCTTTCTTTTTTGTGGCCTATGTAATGTTCAAAGTCAAAAATCTTTGATTTTCTTCATTGACTTGGTAAGAAAAAGATCCACATAAAAATATTGAAGATTCAAGTATAGAAGGAAAATTATTTACTTTCAGTCTGAGAAAATGTTCAGTCATATATATATTTGTGAATTGCATGATAATTGTGTCTGGAGATCTCAAAACCTCTTTCTTAGGGTATTCTCTCCTCAGTGCCTTTATTATTCATGAAACAAGAGGAGTCCAAATAGGATCTTATAAACTCTCTGTAATAGGCTGAACGAATTTCCATTTTGCCCAGTTGTTAAGCATACAGTTTAAGCTTGAGAAGGAAGATTGAACAGCATCTGAAAACGTGCACCTTATTTTTAAGCCTCCAGAGAAAATCCTGAACAGTGTAATAGTGGTCTCCAAGCATTCATGTTCCCCTACCCCTCCCACTAGAAAAAGTATTAGTTGCAGGAACTCTTCAGTTATTAAATTCTAATAAGATAGAAACATTGAATTTTTAGGATAAAGCTTCTTAAATCTAATTTTGATATATATTTTAATACAGTAGAAACACTTAATGGTAATGACAATAGAATCCATCTCTTGTTGAGAATTTACTCTGTCCTGGGCACTGTCTCAATGTTTAAATGTTTACCCTTGTTACTTCTAATTCACACTTTTATCCACAACACAAGATGAGTAAAATTAGGATTATTTCCTTGATGCAGAAGTTAAAGTGAGGTAGTATTGGGATTCAAACTGGTTATTTCTTCTCCAATAACCTAATACAATTTGTTAATGTAAAATTTTGGACTCCAGCCAAAATAACTTCTTAAAATTTATCTGTCAGCAGTTTTAATCTTTTGGTATATAGGGGCATTGCAAGTGTGAATCATGATTTTTATTTATGATGGACAAAATCAATGCTCAGGATCCTGGTTCTGGTAATGGCAAAGTAGCCTAATCAGACTAAGGACCATAGATAACAATTCTGAACTCTAGACATAATATTGCAAACAAAAACATCTGAAAACAAGTATTTAAGGAACTAAATAGTAACTGAAACAGACAGAAAGAAGTCAGTCAGTCTTTGAGAGAACAAATTGGCTCTAGCTGAGACTTGTGTGTTCACAGCTTTTTGCCTGAGGATCCCTGCTCATCCAGGTAGCGTGTGTGCTGCAAGTGTGCTAAGTCACTTCAGTCGTGTCCAACTCTGTGCCTGCTATGGACTGTAGCTTGCTAGGCTCCTCTGTCCGTGGTGATTCTCCAGGCAAGAATACTGGAGTGGGCATGCCCTCCTCCAGGGCATCTTCCTGAACCAGAGATTGAACCCGCATGACTTATGTTTCCTGAGTTTTTTTTTCCTGAGTTTTTTGAGGTGTTTTTTTTTTTTTTTTTTACCACTAGCGCCACCTGGGAAGCCCCATCCAGGTATCATGGAGCGATAAAAACCCTCAATCTTAGTGCTAGTGGTGGTACATGCCTCCTTTGTCCATGTGACATAATTTGGGGCTGGCAGAGCAACTAGATAATTAAGGAAAATCCATGAAAGAAAGGAGGCTCAGAGGATGTGAAACCCCCATAAATAAATATGAATTCTGCCCAAATATATCACTGATCACTGAAGTGTGAATGTACATGTGTGTATGTGAACCCCAGGGGGTATTCAGACTTTTTGTTTCCTTGTGGGTCAGTTTTGATGTGTCAGTTTAGTCCCCTGAGCAGCTAATGCTGAGATGGAGTGAGGAGAGTAAGAGGTTTACTGGAGGATGGGTGGTACTTTGTGGCACAAAGTGAGGTTGGATATGAAACCTTTCAGATAGTGAGGTAGAGCTGATGCCTGTGCAAGGAAGAAGAAAAGAGGAAGCAGGTGTAGATCTGACAGTCCCAGCCAACCCAATAGGAAGCTCAGTATAAATACAGACTGTTAGAGGGGTTACACAATGAAAATTGGTTACACTGGTGAGTATATGCACATGCAGAAGAAATACTGAATCTACACATATGGTTTCAGAAAAGAGATGGTGGGGAAAAGTTCCCAATCATTTTATGAGGCCTGTAAGGCCAGTATCACTCTGATAACAAAACCTGACAAAGCTAATTTAGGAAATAAAAATTATAGGCCACCTAATGAACAGAGGTGCAAAACTCCCCAGAAACATATGAACAAATATAAGCAAGCAAGGTATGAAGAAGATTTGTGGCAATAAAGATTTATCTCAGAAGAAGTTTAACATCTGAAAATCAGTCACCATGATTTAGAAAAATAAAGGAGAAAACTTAAACAGAAAAACCACCTTTATGGATACAAAAAATAGATAACAGATACAGAAAAAGCATTTCATAGCATCCAACACTCATTCATAAGTATTCTCAGCAATCTGGGGATAGAGGGAACTTCTTCCACCTAATAAAGATTATCTACAAAAAAAAAGCAGTATACTTAATGTTGGAAGATGAATCCCTACTCCTCCCACTAAAAATTGGGAATAAGGCAAATATATATTCACTTTTTGCACTTCTAGTCAACATTGTACTATAGTTGTTAGCCTTAGCAATAAGTCAACATAGAAATAAAAGACAGTGGTCAGAAAGGAAGAAGTAGGGGCTTCCCTGACAGCTTAATGGTAACGGTAAAGAATCGGCCTGCCAATGCAGGAGACACGGGTTCCACCTCTGATCTGGGAAGATCCCACATGCCAAGGAGCAACTAATCCTGCGTGCCACAACTACTGGGCCTGAGCTCTAGAGCCCAGGAGCTTAAACTACTGAGAGCTACGCACCCCAGAGCCTGCACTCTGCAACAAGAAAAGCCACTGCACTGAGAAGCCTGCACACCACAACTAGAAAGTAGCCCCACTTGCCACAACTAGAGAAAGCTGTGCAGCAATGAAGGTGGAGCACAACCAATAGTAAATAAATTTTTAAAGATATTCATATTAAAAAAAAGAAGTAAAAAAACTTTATCCTTAGAAAATCCTAAGATATCTACAAAAAAATGGCTCGATCTCATAACTGAATTTATCAAAGTTTCAGAATATGACATTAGTATGTAAAAGGGATATATTTTTATACTTTAATAGCAAACAACTGAAATGAAATTTTATAATTTCCATTTACAGGTGTCAGAAATGATAAAATTCTTAGAAATTAATTTTAAGAGGAGACATCAATACCTGTTGTCTGAAAAATAAAAATATTGCTGGAAGAAATTAATGAAGACCTAAATAAGTAGAGAATACAGCATTTTATGGATTGGAAGACACAGTATTGTTAAGATAGCAGTTCTCCCCAAATTAGGTTTAGTGCAATACAGTTTTTTTAAAAAGAAACTACAAGCCAATCTTAAAAACTTAAAGAAAATGCATTGGACCTAGAAGAGCCAAAACAATCTTGAAAGACCCATAAAATCAATAAAGTTGGAAGATATCATTAACTGCCTTAAAGACTTCCTACATAGTCAGTAATTAACATACTGTGATATTGATATAAAAGGATAGACAGATCCACAGAATAGAATAAAGAGTCTAACATTGATCCACAGTTAAATTCGCAACAAAGGAGCTGAAAGAATGTGTGTTGATATATCATGCTGTGATTCTAAAGGGTATGTCCAATGGGGCAGTTTAGAAATCCATACATTTCTGTGTCTGTAAGTTTTACCACAAAAATAAAATACTCGGAAAAACTCAACAGGCAGGGTAGAACAAAGTTATATCATTAACTTTGGCAATTAGGGATACATTCAGTATGGTTTATTAATAACTTTTAAAGTGGTCTTTATTTTCGTCTTTTCTCTGCTTCTCTCTTGGGCATGGCACCCAATGAAAACATTTGGAAGCACTATTTGATAAAACTAACGGCATAAAATTTAAATTCTTTGAGATTGGCTGAATTTTCTTGGAAAGAAGATGGTCTCTACTGAATTGATGAGAAACATTTATTTGAATCATTCCAGCACACATGGTGTGTTGGCTGTGACATGGCTCTCGACCAGCATGTAAAGTTTGTAGTCAGCTTAATCTGTGGCAGCCAGTACTGCAAAATCTTTAGCTTAGCACTTTATAAAAAAACAAATAAACCAAACAAATAAAAATGCTCCCCGCATGTGCCATGTGGTTGCTTTATATCTATAATCCTTTTAGCCTTGATCTTCTGCACCCAGCACTGATTTCAGAGACAGGATCTTGGCTCTTGCCTTTCCTCTTTGGAACCTGAATCACTCCTCTAGCAGTGGAAATAAACATCTGTTTCAGGGTTCAATAAGAGCTTTTGTAGCTGCCTCAGTTGAGATGAGGTGAGTGAGTCCCTTGATTTGGAAGGTAATAACATTTTAGCACTGCCATCCTTTCCTTGCAACTGAGGATTTAAAGTTGAATTTTGAAAAATGTCTCCCATGGAAAGGTAGTATGCCATCCAGCAACCAGTTATAATGAATTATATATGTCATATATATAGTATATATAATGCAATGTATTATATACATATTCTATATAATCATATATATATCATATAATAAAATATGTCATTAGATATATATTAATTTACACAGTATATAAGATATACATTATATATACAATATATTGTATCATATATAAATATATCTAATAACATATTTTATATACTATATAAGATGCATATACATACATATGATTATATAGCATATGTATGTCTAATAACATTAATCCATAGAGTTTATAATTACATGTGTGTGTGCTCAGTCACTTGGTTTTGTCCAATTCTTTGCAACCCTATGGACATTAACCCACCAGGCTCCTCTCTCCGTGGAATTTTCAAGGCAAGAATACTGGAGTGGGTTGCCAATTCCTCCTCCAGGAGATCATCCTGACTCAGGGATCGAATCCACATCTCCTGTGTCTCCTGCATTATAAGTGGATTTTTTACAGCAGAGCCACTGGGAAGGCTCCCTTATAATTATATATGTGGTCAGATAGTAAAGAATCCTCCTGCCAGTGCAGGAGATGCAAGAGACATGGGTTCGATCCCTGGGTCAGGAAGATCCCCTGGAGAAGGGAACAGCATCCCACTCCAATATTCTTGCCTGGAGGGACAGAGAAGCCTAGCAGGCTATAGTCCATGGGGTCGCAAAGAGTCAGACACAACTGAGTGACTAACACTTTCACTTTCACAAGTATAGCAAGGTTATTAGATAATATTTATATAAGTATAAATTAAGGAAATAGCAACCCACTCCAGTATTCTTGCCTGGCTAATCCCACAGACAGAGAAGCCTGGCAAGTCACAAAGAGTAGGACACTACTGAGTGACTGAGCGCACATGATATAACATTTATATGAAACTTTTTTGGACCAAGAGAGTGATCCTTCCCCTGGACACCTTGGTGTGTGATGTAAAGAAACTTCCCTCACTTATCAACCGTTGACACTAACCAGTGATTGCCAAACACAGACAGCCCTAGCTGCAGTCTCAGAAATAGTGCTCCAGTTCCAACCAGGGAGATTGAAACGCTAGTTCCCCAAAGCAGCTTGAAGATTTGGAAAGCAAACAGTGCTGTTTCTCTTTTTCTGCATCTTTTGCCCCGGGTCCTGGGAGCCTGTCTGAGGAGTCTATAGGCAGAGTTCTGGGGCGTTTGAGAAAGAGGGAGTATCTCAAGATGTCACTGAGGCCATTTGGATTATGAGTCCATTGAGCGAGGAAAAGAGTTATGTTGCCTTCAGATAATTAGAGAGCATAAGTACAATTTATCTTTTGCTTTTAAAGCAGTTAATGAAGACTGATATTGTCTTTAGTCCAAGATATAGGGAATGTAAAGAAGAGTTTGTTTCTAGCCATGTGTTACTCCTTTTTCTGTTTCTATTGCTTTTCTCTTAGTGACAACACCAAGGCAATGTTTTTACACTGCATGGAAGCTATGAATGCCATCCTCCGATGTCATGTACATCTTTTACAAATTGAGGTCTTTCAGCATGCCAGGTGTAAAGAAATGCAAACCATTCATTACCAGTTGTGTGTGTATGTGTGTGCTCAGTCGTGTCTGATTCTTTGCAAACCCATGAACTGTAGCCCGCCAGGCTCCACTGTCCATGGAATTTTCCAGGCAAGAATACTGGAGTGCATTGCCATTTTCGACTGCAGGTTCATTATCACTTAGTGGTTGTTTTTCTCCTTTTTTTGAGTAAAAAAATTGTTAATATTGTTTGTGTGTGTGTTTAAGTTGCTCAGTCACGTCCGACTCTCTGTGAACCCTTGGACTGTAGCCCACCAGGCTCCTCTCTCCATAGGGATTCTTGGGGCAAGAATACTGGAGTGAGTTGCCATGTCCTTCTCCAGGGGCTCTTCCTGACCCCAGGCATTGAACTGCAGGCAGATACTTTACCGTCTGAGCCACGAGGGAAGTTAGTTAATATTGTTTACCCTAATTATACAACTAAGTAATAAATTACATAATATTGTTCACTGAAAACTCTATACATAATTATGTAATGTTTTCACAGTGATACTAATGTCTAATAATCTGTTAATAAATCTTACTAATTGATTTTATTTCCTGGCTCTCTTATTTTCCTGAAGAAATTTCTTTTTTGTTGTTGCCAGCTAGTGTTTAGATTTTCTTATGACTCATTGTAGGAAGAGTCATTCTGTAATTTTTCTATAACCTTTCTTACTCGTCCTTTTAATCCATTTTCTACCTATCTATTTTTTTTGTTTTCTTAAAGTAAGCTTGAGTTTTCTGGTTTGGAATTTCTTTTTGGGGCATGATTCTCTGATGCCACCTAGGGGGAACCTGTAAGATGGGGATTGCTTGTCTGTGACTCAGAGAAGTCTTTTAAAAATATATGCTGCTTTTTTTATCTGACTTGAAAGGTTTGGCTTTCCTGCTTTTTTTTTTTTTTTTCTGGCTCCAAGGACAGAAAATTCTTGTCACAATGAAGACAGACATTTGAAAATCATGAGCTTCGTGTACCTTTTTAAAATACCTCTTTGCATAATGATAATAACTAATATTTATATGCTGCCTTCCGTGTGTTATACACTGTTCAGAGGGCTGTAAGTGTGATAACTCCTTTCATTTCCCCAGGAATCCTCTGAGTAAAGTATCAGCACCACTAGCAGCATCATTGTCATCCTCTTTTTTAAAAAATGAGGAAACTCGGGGCACAGAATATGTCAGTGTCTTGTCCACTTACAGCTGTCCACCTCTGCTGTCTGACTCCAGAAATCACCCACTTAACCATTTCCATCTAATGCGTCTCATCCCCTCTGGTGTCTGGTACCTTTGGATCACAGTCCCTTCCTGAGAGTCACCTTCTCTTTTGTAGATTTATTTTCAGCATCTGAGATGATGCAGGATTTCCAAGGTCCTCCATGGAGGCCAGGCTGAGAACACTGGGAAGAAGGGGAACTGCAAAGGTGTTTTAAAAGAAATAGGAGCCAGTTTTCTATTCTGTTAATTGAAAATGAATGGGAAGACTCCATCTAAACACTTTATGAAACTCTGTAAAGTAGCAATCATGATATATAGGAGTTTACAGATTAAAAATCTGAACTACTAAATTTATTTTTAAAAAATCAAGCATACAAATCAGTGTGGTTGTATACAGTATGGAGATTCTGATGGGCATAATTTATTGTACCTGAAGGGACAAAACTTATCTTGAGCGTTTTAAGTTAATACTATCATGGTGATAATTTATGGTAGAGGTGAGTTTCTATAGAAGATTCTCAAAGTTGTTTTGAAAGCACTAGAAACCAGGTTGTTGTCTGGTAAAGGGTGTGGATGTGAGAGTTGGACTATAAAGAAAGCTGAGCGCCGAAGAATTGATGCTTTTGAACTGTGGTGTTGGAGAAGACTCTTGAGAGTCCCTTGGACTGCAAGGAGATCCAACCAGTCCATCCTAAAGGAGATCAGTCCTGGGTATTCATTGGTAGGACTGATTTTGAAGCTGAAACTCCAATACTTTAGCCACCTGATGTGAAGAGCTGACTCATTTGAAAAGACCCTGATGCTGGGAGGGATTAGGGGCAGGAGGAGAAGGGAATGACAGAGGATGAGATGGCTGGATGGCATTACTGACTCGATGAACATGGGTTTGGGTGAACTCCGGGAGTTGGTGATGGACAGAGGTCCTGGAATGCTGTGGTTCATGGGGTCGCAAAGAGTCGGACACAACTGAGCGAATGAACTGAACTGAAATGAAGGGGTGTGGATGGAGCTATTATAGAAGGCAATTCTTTTACCTGAGTTTGCCTGATGTGTTTAAATTTCTAACTTATTCATGAGACACTTCCTACAGCTTCTGAATCACAGCAAGTCAATGGGCAGCAATCATTATTATCTATAATATTCTAGAAAGGTATTCTATAAAGCCTATTAACTAAAGTTAAAATGCTGGACAGTGTAACATAGAAATAAATATGCTTATTTACATATATGTTTGTATCTATGAGTGTGTGTATGTGTGTAAATGCACTCACCAAACACACACACACACACACACATACACACACACCTAGGTATATTTGGGCCACATAAATCTTTTGCAAAGTGCTGATACTTTTAATAGAATTATTTATAACCTTCCCTGTTGGATACCCAGAGGTAATAAGAGAAGCGTGTTGCCCTCTTCCTAATATTTGTTTGCTGAGGAGCTTTTTTAAGCTATCATTTTCTGAATGCTTATACACTGCACTTCATTCAGTGCTCTACCAGTAGCCCTGTGATGAAACCGATTTCACCATCCAGTTTTTCAGTGGAGAGGACGATGGCCTAGAGAATCTTAGGGACCCACTCGGGGCAATACAGCTCACCTGAGTGAGACTGTGAATCCAGGTCTGTCCCCCAGAGGCCCTGGCCCCTCACTGTGAAGCTGCCTCTCTCCTTCCTACTGACCCACGTGTGTAAGGACGTTGTCTGGGGCCCAGCTGCTTATCCCAGTGATCTTTTACAGTTCTGCTTGTATTCATCTTTCTAAAGCATTCTCACTTCCATCTCTCCTTGTGCTGAACTCTTGGGCCCATCACCCTCACACCTCCTTGTTTTTTCCAGCTTTGGAGACATGCTGTCCTTCACCCTGACGGCCTTTGTGGAGCTGATGGACCATGGGATAGTGTCCTGGGATACGTTTTCGGTGGCATTCATTAAGAAGGTAATTCAGATTGTGCTTTTCAAGCTCAAATCATTTCTTTTTTTACAGATATTTTTCTATGCTTTGAGCTTATTGCAAAGTTGTTTCCTTTAGTTCTTTGTGTTAAAGGGCGAGTGTGATTTTTGATAGTATTATATATATGGTGGTCTGAGGGCCTAAATTCTATATAAAAATGGCATTTTCTCCCCAGCGGGATCATAAAGGTTGTACAAGAGAACCCCTAGTTGAAGGTGACATGTTAAAACCCCTCTTTTGGACGCCATTGTTTTTAAGACCTAGCTAGAGTTCGTAGTTCCTGAACGTTCTCTCCTCAACCAGATGTTCAGGAGAAGGGAAGAAGGCAAAATATATTGATTGCTACATGACTGGGTCTGAAGCAGGAATGTAAGAGAAAAAGGGGTGCTTGGGTCCATGCCTCTTAGGCAGAGTAAGCCTGCTCACTCGTAATATTGGTGGAGTTAAGTGTCTCTGGGATCAACTAGTTCAGTTGGTTCCTACTGTCCTTAGGAGGAAGCTAACAAGGGGGCAGGCAAAGGTGGACCTGGTGTGAGGAGAGAGAGCAGAAGAGCCCCCCACCATTCCTAGCAGTTGAATCGTAGTAAAAACACATCTGCAAATTTACAATTCTCTTTCCAGTCTTTTAACCAAAAATGAATAGCCTTGACTTTTTAACTGTTAAGGGTAGTATTAAATCAAGAATCGTCATTATTAATTTGTTAACTTATTTTTCCTCTCTTTGTGAAATGGTTTATAAAATGTATTGGCATCTTTCTTTCTGCTGTTACTGGAAATGAAGAGATATTTGGAATTCATATATTTATCTTAAATGTCTAGATTCCTGGGAAGAATGGTCTAAAATAAAGAACTTTAGAGAGTCTTTGTGAAAGCTAGAAAATAAAACCAAAATCCAAGATGAGTCACTTGAGTTTTTTTTTTTCACTTGAGTTTTTAAGAGCTTTTAGTTTGAAATCATGGTAAACTTATAGAAAATTTGAAAAAAAAAAAAAAGTACAAAATGTTCCAAATGACCTTCAACCAACTTCCTTAATGATAGTATTTTGCATAATAATAGTATCATCAAAACTAGGAAATTAACAGTGCTATAATACTATCACCATTAATTGATTTCACCAGTTTTTCTCTGGTTAAGGACTCAAAACTGCGTTTAGTTATCATGTTTCCTTAGTGTCTTCCAATATGATCATTCCTGTTTTTCCTTGTCTTTCATGACTGACAGTTTTGAAGAATACTGGTCAGTTATTTTGTAGACTGTCCCTCAGTTTGGGTTTGTTTGGTAATTCCCTTAAATCAAGCTTATGCATTTTTGGCAAGAATGTCAGAGAAGTAATGTTGTGCCCTTTTTAGAGGATCGCATTGGAATATGTGAGGTTGGTATCTCTTATTAATGGTGACCTTGATAATGTGGTTGAGACGCAGCAGATACCACTGGGTCTCCCGACTCTGAAGTTACATCTTGTCCTTTTGAAGTTAATCAGTACCTGGAGGGAGTTACTGCCTTGAACTGAAGAGCATAGGAGAGCCCTTAGTCTGTCAAATGAGGGTGTTTGGAATAGAAGTCTCACAGATTGAATACCTGAATGATGTTGTCTATTTATTTCAGGCAAGAACTGATTGGGAACCCAAGGTCTTCTTGATGTACCTCTGAATCCTTTTTTCTTACATAAGGGCATAAAGCCAAGAGAAAATGCATAGTAAGAACCTAAGAAAACACACAAAGAAGGATGAAGCCTCTTTTTGCCTGTATTTGTCAGTGGCATGAATTGCTTAGGAAAAAAGAAAAAGAGAGAGAAATGAGTGTAGAAGAGAAAGCCAAGGCAATCCGGATGTGTTAGGAAGTATTCTCCTTTGGTGGTGGCAGGTAACGAATATAAGCATTAGGTTTTAAATGCAGAGAAAAAATTACTGTATTTTGTGTTTCCAAGATAAAAGTTCTAGAGAAATGGAGTATTATTTAGCCATAAAAGAGTGAAATATTGCCATTTGCAGCAACATGGGTGAACCTAGAGATTATTATACCAAGTGAAGTAAGTCAGACAGAGAAAGACAAATATTATATGATGTTACTTATATGTAGAATCTAAAAAGTAACACAAATGAATGTATTTACAAAACAGAAACAGTCTTATAGAGATGGAAAACAAGTTTATGGTTACCAAAGGGGAAAGAGGAGAGGGATAACATAGGAGTATGGGATTAACAGATACACACTACCATATATAAAATAGGTAAATATATATATATATAAAATAGGTAAATATATATATATATAAATATATAGGTATATATATATATATAATAGGTAAATATATATATATATATGTATAATAGGTAAACAATAAGAATTTACTCTATAGTGCAAGGAACTATATTCAATAACTTCTAATAACCTATAATGGAAAAGTATCTGAAAAAGAAAAAATTTGTATGTATATATATATACATGGACCTCCCAGGTGGGGCAGTGGTAAAGAATTCTCCTGCCAGTGCAGAGTTGAGAGTTCAATCCCTGTATCAGGAAGAGCCCCTGGAGAAGGAAATGACAATCTACTCCAGTATTCTTGCCTGGAGAAACCCCTGGACAGAGAAGTCTGGAGGTCTATAGTCCATGGGATTGAAGTCGGACTTGATTGAGAGATTGAGCACCCACACATGAATGTAAATACATATACATATAAAACTGAATGACTTTGCTGTACTAAAACTAATACAACACTGGAACTCAACTATACTTCCAATTTAAAAAAAAAGTTCTAGGGAGGCAACTTTAAATCTGAAGATACTGGGTTTTGCAGATATTTTTTATACTTAAAATTTTTAAATTCAGTCTGAGTTTATGGCAGGCTTTTCTTTTCTACTTTCAAATTGCTTTGCCTTTTCTGATATTAGAGCCTCTTTTGCTATAAAAACAATGCTGTTCTGAATGTGAATTCCTTGAAGTTAGGTTGTGCTTTCAGCAACATTATCTCTTGATTCCTGTAGCAATCCTTTGCAGTAAGTGTTGTGTGCCTGGTCAGGAGGGGAGGACACAGTGCCTTGGGGAGGTAGAGTGAGGTTCTGGAGAATGGGGTGTCATCGGCCCCCCATTTCAGGGCTCCCTCCCGCATCAGCATGCACCTGCACTTTAAATGTTGGAAAGAAGAGATTCTGAAGGACAGAAGGACAGACTTGTTGAAACACCATTGCCTCTTGTTCAGCCCTCCCTGACCTCACTGGGGCAGAGTTAACTGATTTTTTCTGCTCTTCATTCTCCTTGAATCTTGTCCATGCCCCTGTTCCATCACTTATCACTCTCCTGTGAATTTTTTGTTCTTTTGATTGGCTCTCCCAAGAAAGCCTGGTGGAACCAGGATGGGACCACTGCTTTCTTCTAGCCTATCTCCTCAGAGCATGGCATAGAGTCAGACCTTAATACATTTCTGTGAAAATGAATAAATGAAATTTACTTTGGAAGTATTTTTCTGAACTCTATAACTTGAAGAAAAAAAAAAGAATACAGTGCCACCGTATTTAAATGTATTTCAAGTAAAACTTCAGCTATGAATGGAAAGGAATTACAAAGGTATCTTTCTTTAAATGGGAGATGTGGTTAGAGAGAATGACAATAATCTAATTTTCTAACTGCTTATGAAAATGGTTTTCACTCACTGAAATTAACCAAAAATCATATTAGATCCAAGGAAGCAAAGACTAGCAGTCTTAGCAGTTTAAATTAAACACTGAGTATTTTTCAGAAGACAACATGTTCATAATGTATTCCATCCTCATTCCTAGCCATTCTGTTTCCTTTGCATTGCTACTTGGAGCTCAACTCCTTATGAGAATTTTAAAAAGTGGTCATCAGAAAATGACTTTATAATTGAAAGTTTTTGTAAGGTTATCTTTTTATTCATTAGCTGGATCAAATTCAGCACTTTGACAACCCAGGAATTGTATACAGGGAACTGTCTTTTAAATGGAGCTTTATCTAGACAAAAATCAGCTAGGAAATGTGCTGACAGAAGATGCTTATCTCTGTGGTCCAGACTTGGCTTCCTATTAATGCCAAATTCATACGACTTTGGAGAAATATTTTTCCCCTGCCAGCCCTGATATCCTTCTCTGCTATCTATTTTGTTATGTGTGGATCTAGAGTCTAGTTTACAAAGTTTTTCTGTAATAAGTAATATCATTTCATAAACACTTTGAAACTTGGAATCCCTTGAGGCCAATCTTTAATGTTGCTGCTTTTTAAAGACTTGGTGACTTAGAGAGAGGTCAGAAGGCATGGAGAAGAAAGAAATGAAATAAAAGAAAAACAACCTAGAACTTTCTGTGTTAACGAGTTGGTTTTACCCTAGCCAAGTATAACATCAGTGCCTTTTCTTGGAAGGAAAGTTTTATACAAATGCTCTTGAAACCTTAGCTCTGCAGGAGGGCCCGGTTCACTCTGCAGTATTTTCAGTGCCTAGATAAACATCCAGCCAATTTCAGTTTAGAGACCCAGTAATTTTTGCCTCTTAAAAGCTTGAGAGATTTATGGACCACTGCCTGAATAACTTAAAATATGGGAGAGGGGCTCCGTGTTCTCCATGTATCTATTCAGTTTTGATAACAGAGGATAATTTTAAGGTCTCATTCTAAGGAACTCAAAGTGTTTCTGTGATTTAAAAAAGTTGTATCATTGATTCATACACTGTGATGCCCTTAACTTCTTAAAAGTCATTCAAATATTCCTATGTTTTATCTACGTAGCACTTTTATTTATTTATTTTTCTTTAATTTTATTTTTTTTTAACACTGAAAACATGTTGTATTGGGTATAGCCAATTAACAATGTTGTGATAGTTTCAGGTATAGAGTGAAGGGACTCTGCCATACATATACATGTTTCCATTCTTCCCCAAACACCCCTCCCATCCATGCTGGCACATAACATTGAGCAATTCCATGAGCTGTACAGTAGGTTTTTGTTGGTTATCCATTTTAAATACAGCATTGTGTGTATAACCTTCCCAAAGTTCTAGGTAGTGCTTTTAAATGAGTGGAAGCATGTGGAAGTAATAGATATAATTATTGTTAGCTCCTCCTCCTTCTTTTTCTCTCTGATACAGACCTACTTTCAAGAAGCTGTCCTTCGACATGTTTAGGCTGGTTCACCCATGTTGGCCAAAGTACAGAAATGGAACTGGAAAAAATTTAAAGGCAAAGGAAGTCATGATTGATTTTGAGGAAGACAAGGGAAATTAAAATTTAACGAGATGATTTTTAACCTTCTATAGCTATACTGTGACCTGTAGTTTTTAAACTAGACAAAGAAAGTAACATTTAAACTTTCACGAAGTTTTCCATTCACCAATGAAGACAGTCATCATGTTTGCTCAGTCAGCCCTGCTACCTTGGTTATTAGTATTCATTAGATGAAAGTATTGGGTCATTTAAATGTCAAGTTAAAATTACTGATAAATAAGGCAAAAGATAGAAGTTAGTTTCAAAAGACAACTAGTATCTCCTACAGAATTGTACATTAGACTCTAAAGAGTCATATGCATGCTTTCTGCCAGGCAGTACTCAGCTTAGTGTGTTAAAGTTTTGTAAGCTACTTTAGGATTGCTGAAATGATGGTATCTCCATGTTAAGGAAGAGCTGAAACAATGGAAAAGATTAATTTTAAACAATACTTTCATGAAGGTAAGGGGTTATTTTTATGATAAATATATAAAAATGCCAAACGGAAATGGAATATGTATATGGGATACAATGTCTGAATTAAAGCAAAGACCATTACCTGTTTTACCACCCCTGTGTAAGCCTGTTGGGAGCAGGCGAGGGTTAATAATTTGTAGAGAACTTTAAAGCCCATTATAAGAAACTGTGCTTCATATCAGGAAAACATTGAGCATTTTGATTCAGTATTTTAAGAAAGGAAATACTGTCAAGGCATATTTATAGAAGTAGAGGGTAAATTTGTATCAGAGGGAAATCTTGACTATAGAGGAAATTGAAGAAGCCGCTGTCATAGTAACCCAGGAATGAGCTGGACCATGTGCCAATGTGCATGTATGACAGCATGTATATGAGAGGGTGGACATTGCACAGAGCTTCCTTGGTGGCTTAGATGGTAAAGAACCTGCCTGCAATACAGGAGACCCAAGTTCAGTCCCTGAGTTGGGAAGATCCCCTGGAGAAGGGAATGGCAACCCACTCCAGTATTCTTGCCTGGAGAATTCCATGGACAGAGGAGCCTGGTGGGCTACAGTCCATGGGATCACAAAGAGTCAGACATGACTGAGCAACTAACACTTTCAGACATTACAAATGTGTTCACAGAGACAGAAAGTAGGGAACTGGGACTATTTATCACTAATGATCATGGCAAACTTGGAGAAAGGTGATACTTGAGAAGAGAGGAATAAGAAAGAAGTCAGTGAGATTGATTTTTAGACCATTTAATTTTCGACTTTAGAATATCTAAGTGGATGTATACTTTTGGATGCCAAGAATAAGCATGTAACATACTTTATAGTAAATGGCTGTTGTGTGTCCATCTGTGCTAGATTATAAGGTCCTTGAAGTTAAAAATCATGTGGGTTTGCTCACATCTTGATTTCCAGATCCTAGGTCAGTGCAAGCCTGTTTTATAGTACATGGTCAACACCTATTACCTGAATGAATGAATAGAGGGAATGAAGGCAAGAGGGTGGAGGAGGAGGTTTGATCATAAACTTTCAACTAGAAGATTCTCCACAGAGTCTTAAAGGTACATCCAAATTTACTAAATGGAAATAAGAATATGATCATGGAAGGAAAATAGACTAGTGCAGAGAAATCACAGGTATTGTCAACATATTTCTTTGTGAGTTCTTCTCTTTTCCAATAAGGGTCAAGAATTGTACTGGGATAATGGAAAGTTTTTGGTGTGGTGTTGATGAGGAAGTCAAGGAATTAATATTGGATTTAGAAGAGGTCTAAGTTAGGCATTAACCCTAAGCACAATATGAGGGTCGCTGGATTTTTGTGAGAGAAAGATGGACTTGAGAAAAGTGGCCTCATCGTGGTGGATCTGATAGGGGAACAGATCCAGACGGTGAGGATTAAGGCAAGGGCTTGCCAGGGACAGTAAACACACTGAAGAAGTTTATTAGCTGTGAAAGGAGCTAAAGCAGTCTTTGAGAATCTTAAAAATCTTATACTCTTCCTATAGTCTGTATTATAAAATAATGCCCTTTTGGCATATACTAGTATAATGTTACTTTACTTCTTTACGTCATATATTTTCTATCCCCGAAACCCAGGTGTATCTGGAGGCAGAGAGCATGTTGATAACTGTACTTGGCCGCCTCTCTTTTTCACTGTACCCTGTGCTTTCACTGGGGAGTCATTGGGCTAAAAATGGTTGAGCTGGTAACTGTAAGTTGCCATGGTGCCTTTGAATTTTATCTTGTGCAGAGATGGAGAGGGAATGAGGAGAAGGGGTCAAGGCGATAACAAAAAGGGAAATATTCATGTTGATAAGGGGAAGCTATAAGTGTCAATTTGTCATGAAACCAAATAGCTTTTAAGAAAGCAGTCACTATGATGATATAATAACAGCATTTTAATATGAGTTGTCAACATACAGTAATAACATTTAATGAGGCCTCTAAAATAAAACCTTTATGGTACCCATGTGTTTGGGTTTCTGTGATCCATTATTCTAACCCTTATTTTACTTCCCTCTTACATTCTGATTTATTATGTTTGAGGCTTTAGTGATGAATTCCTTAGGGAATGTATTTTAGAGCTTAAAGGGCTATTTTAACTTTTAGCACTTCTAATTTAAATGGTTTCCTGTTTGCTAAATTTGAGAGTGATTAGAAGAATTTCTTTTAACCATAGAAATAGGAAGAATGGGGGAAAGAGTGCTTCATTGAGGAATAAAAAGGAGATTAACCAGTGACTGAAAAGTTGCCAGTTGAACTGTGTTGACAAGTGTGATTTGTGTGAGTCCCTTAAGAATGTAACAGAAGCATAGTAAGAACATAAAAGCCATGGGTTGTGTGGGTGAAGGAGTAGCCTGGAAATGGAAGGCGGTGGCTATTAGTATATGTTGAAATTGCTGTCTCAAAGAAACACAAGAGTTCTTACAATATCTGCTCCTGAAAGCTGAAACTCAGAAGAACCGTTCCAAAAACACCAGACAGAATAATTCTTTGCAACCATCTCCTTTCTAAAATTGCTTATTACCAAATTAGAGAAATAGGCCACAAGTAGCAGTTTGTAATAAGGTGGTGAACAGTCATTGTTGACACCGTGCATTTCTGCCTATTCTGCTATAATTCCAGGTACTTTTCATACTGAATATCTGGTGTTTCTTACATGAGCTCCCGGTTGACTTCATTTGCTCCCTTCTCTGCTTCTCCGCTCTGCTTACTGTGAGTGATCAATTGTGTCCCTCTTGGGTTTTCAGATAGCAAGTTTTGTCAACAAGTCGGCCATAGATGTCTCCATCCTGCAACGGTCCTTGGCCATTCTGGAGTCCATGGTGCTCAATAGCCACGATCTCTACCAGAAGGTGGCGCAAGAGATCACTATCGGCCAACTCATTCCCCATCTTCAAGGGTAAGTGAGATTGACGCGGCCACCGCGGGAGGGAAGCTTCTTCAGGTAGACAGCTACCATGATGGTTTGGTTGGTTTAATTAAATATATACAGAAACAGAATCTCGATCCGGTGTATAATCAAACCATGCCTCGTGTTTGTCCGCCTTCACACTGACATGGCACAGTGACTTGGCCTGGGTGTGCCCCTTGCCTGTTCTTAGACTAGTGTGTCCCGAGTGCCTTGGGAGGGACTCAGTTCTGATGAACGTTGGTAGATAGTGTAGAGCTTTGCTTTTAATAAGATACAATAAAGCAATTTGTTCTCTTAAGTTCTCAATAGAGTCTTTATCCTTCATCATACAGTATTTTCTGTGATATGAGAATTTTCATAGTTAATTAGGAGTTTTTAAAGCCAGACTTATTTATTTGTCTCCAGGTGATTACAATAACCTTTTTCTTGTGTATTTTATAAAATACAAAATTTTAAGATGCTTGATAGCTGCCCTAGCAGCCTTGGGTTTTGGGGGAATCTCTCCTCCCCACCCTTAGATAACTAGTAAGGTTGCCTCTGATGATACGAGCCTGAGAAGGAATCCTTGTAGGATGCCACTTGATCAATGAAAGTATTTTGGATCGCAGGTGGCAAGAAGCATCCTGAGCTAGGACAGGGAGTTTATTGAAAGGATACTGGGGCATTTTATAGAACCGAGGAATGACTTGAGTAGCTAAGCCTTGGGAAGGACAGAAACTATGGCTTCCTTGGAGTTCTCACAACAGGCCTTTTCTCTGGCGTATTGGCTGGCAGTGATGTGACTTGGCTCCCAGTAACTGCTGCCCCTGGTCTCAGGTCACACTGGCAGATTTTCAAGAGGAAACCTGATTGGCCTGTTTGGGTTGGGGGTGTAAAATGGAGATTCAAGGGAGTATTCAGTAGTTCTCAATATACCAAAAATGTTGACTATATGTTTATAATTAAACTTTATATTAAACTACCCAAGTGCATTAGATGTTTCCTTCATTTGGGGGTAGGGGATGGTGACTAGAGTGTAAAATTGTAAGCCATGCAAGCTATAGGCTGTGGCCTCAGGGAAAATTAGCCCATGCTCTAAAATGATGATTTTGTGTGAAATCACTCTGGAAATGGTACCAATTTCACGTGTCCCTGAATGCGACCTGTATCAGCTTAAAAGTCTGTATCTTTCTTCTGAATCTCAAGGGCATCATTGTGCATTTACAGTGCACTTTGCCAAGAGCAGAGTTTCTTATTTGCCAAGTGCTGTACTAAAGGTTTTATGTGCATTACCTCATTTTATCCTAAAAGCAGCTCCTTGAAATGAGTGTGTTTTTACCCAGCGTTCCAGATGAGGAAGCTGTGTAGGGACACCCTGTGAACTTGTCCAAGGCCACACAGCCAGCCAGTGGGGCACCACACTTAGAATTTCATCCTTCCTGAGGATGTGTAATAAGCTCTGCCTCTTCCTAAATTCTCTCTAAATGCAGCTCACCGGCCTCTGCTCTTTGTTTATGCCTTGGGTCCTTCTTATTTACTATTTGTGCTGTGCTATGCTTAATATTTACTATTTACCCTGCACCTAACTGTAGATCTTGGCTTCATTTGGAATTTCTGATTTCATTCCTGTGAAAAGCAAATTTGTAAACATAAAAACCTATCCTTCTTATTCTTTAAAAGTTTCTAGTTGGAAATAGATTTTTAGAATATGTAATATTGCCATGGAGACAAAGCAGTTTCTTCTATAATAAGCCCAGGAATGTGGGGACACCCAGGACTATTCCCAGATGTACTTCATGCATCAGACAGAAAATTATACACACACACACACACACACACACACACACACATCCACATCCCCTGGTCCATATTTTTAACTCTAATAGAGGAGAAGGGAAGAGAGCCAACTGGCCACCTTTATCTCTGGGTGAGAGTGTTTTGTCTGGCTAGCAATAGTAATTGTCTCCTCATGTGTTTCCAGCTTTTCATGGTTGAAATACACAGTGCTGACTGCATCCTCTGGGTCCTGCCTTTCTCTCTCACCTTTTTTGAGGAAATATTCATGACCCTTATCGTGGTCTCACTGAGGGGTGGTCTTTTCTGACTCTGTATGTTGTTCTGTGTCTTTATAGGACAGATCAAGAAATCCAGACCTATACCATTGCAGTGATTAATGCACTTTTCCTAAAGGCCCCTGATGAGAGGAGGCAGGTAAGTTGCATTTCTTCTGTCATAAAGCCTGTGACAGCCAGCGCTGACAAGCTTTGGTGCAGGGAGAGCCCTCCCCTTCCAATCCCAGGAACAACTCTGGGGTTCTCTGCTGCTCGGTGGTTTGCATGGCCAGACTGGGATCATTCACAGATCCAGTGGGAGCTAGTTGGAGATGAAGTGTTTCAGAGGTAAAGCTCTTTCATCATGTGAAACCCAGTATAGAAGCCCCAAACAAAGAGCTGAAAAAAAGAGGAAACTGCTTTTGTGGTTGATGTAGAGTTAGAAGCCCCTGTGGTTTTCCATCATTTCACTAGATATTCACTGGGGCCAGGGAGGGATTGTCCCCATTTTTCTGATGAGGAAAGCTAGACTCTGAGAACTGTCACCCTTTGCTTGGGGGAGATGTGAGGTGGGAAGATGGGAAAGGGAACATGTAAATTGCTGCCGCAGTTGAGAGAACCTTTCATCTGTAAGAGAGGCTCTTTGCTTAGTAATATTTCTGCTGTCCGGTGTGAATGTGCCCAGGAGGAGTGAGCAATTCATTTCCTCTCCTCAGAGGAGAGGAGCCCTCTCATCAGAAGGAGGTGTCATCAGAAGGAGGGAACCCCTTAAATATACCTGCTTGAAATGTACCTTTGTCAATCTTTGGTTCTTCTTCAGCAAGGGAAAGGACGATTATAAAGTGGCTGTGGAAGAAGTGGCACTTTTGCATGTCTTAGAACTTGGCTCATATCTCAGAATCCTTTCTTTTTTTCTTTCTCCAGCAACATAACATACTTGTTACCTTGGTCACAATTGACTCCCTTTAGAAACTAGATGGAAATATGAGATCTTCCAACATTTAGAAATTATACTGGGGAGCTTATGACAGTTACTAATAAATTGTTTTAGAAGAATTTAGAAGGTTAGCATGCTACTGAACACTGTGTCAAGAATTTTATTTTTTTACTTTATTTTTTCGTTGCCAGGGATTTTAAACCTCAGTGGCTAAATATGAGGGTTTCTGGTTTGTTTTCCATTTATGTTTGTTTGCTCATTCCTAGGAGTTACATTTGCACATAAGCAGAGTGGCTTTCTGGTTTCCTGTGCTTTTGGTTTGGTGTTGGCTGGAGCCAGGAGGTGCCTGCCCTCCCCAAGCCTATTTTCCAGGCTGGATTTTTCAGGGCAGCTTTGCAGATCTTAAGTGGGATCATAGGTAGGGCTGCTCCTTTTATATTTATATCTAAATACTGGGAGCATAATTCCCATCAGGCCAGCAAGTTGCCTGCATATGTTTACAAGCCTAATATGGGCATCACAGAGAAGCTTGATTCTTCTGCTAGCCAGACCAGGGATGCCTGGCTAGACCAATGATAGCTGCTTGTAGAGTAGGGGTCAAGAGCCAGGCCAGAACACTGACCTAGACTCTTGAAACTGTCTTTCCCTCTGTAGCTAGATTAGAGGAAAGGAAAGCTCAATGCTCACCCCACGTGCTACAATTTCACTCGGATCTCTGCATCTCGACATAAGTAAGATGCATACCCCTTGCATCTTTCTGTTACACTAAAATTACTGTTAATCTGACTAATTGGAATTGAATGACCATGAAGAAATAGGGAATTACATGCCAGTCTATGCTGACTTCAGGGTAATGATAACGGTGAAAATATAATGGGGTACCATTATACTAGAAATGCCATTAACATTAGGCTTGAATTCTGCTAATCAAATCTTTTTTAATTTTGAAAAATTAGGCTATTTGAAACTGACATAGCACAGTTTGTACGTATATTGCTGTATTAATACTTAACCACAAAGGGTCGTCTAATAACATTAAATCACTCAAGTAAACAATTCAACTAAGAAAGAGTGCTTATTAATCAGCAGAAAATTCAGATTTTAGTCTTTGAAATAGAAATGACAGTACTTGTCAACAGAAAATTAACTTGGATTTTATAGACTATGTTGAATTTAAGATGAATCAGTGACTGTTGTTTGTCAAGAAAATGAATATTTTGATTTTTAATTTTTAAAATACTTTCTAGTGAGTTAAGAGAGAGTTGGCCCTAAAAATTATTTTACGTTCATAATGAAGGAAAGTTTATTTGTCATTATTTTTTGAATATCAGTGGAATCTGATAAAGCTCAAGCTAATTGGTAATGTCTTACTGTATGTTATATATTTGTTATTGATTTATGTTTTGCAAGATTGAAAGTTCTGAAATTTTTTGGCAAATAGGAAAACTTGCCAAAGCCTGTCACTGATAATATTTGAGAGTCCACCTTGCAAACATGTTTTATGTCATTTCTTTTAATCCTAATATCTATAGAAAATCTTATTATTTCTATTTTATAAATGAGGAAATTGAGAATCAAAGAGGTAAGGAACTTGACTGGCTGCTGAGCTGATTAAGAGTCCACACTAGAATCCCAAGCTCATTCTTGCTCTTACCTGCAAAGCATCCCATTGAATGCCGGTCAAGGAAGCATCTCCTGCAGAATGGCCTTGTATTTGTCTGGTAAAGAACTTCCTGAAACTTGGGAGACATCAAGTCCATTTTCTTACTCCAGTTAGATTAAAACATAACCTTAACACTTATTTATTGGATTTACAGAAATGTCCCTTTTTTTGTTTTTTTTGTTTGTTTGTTTTTTGGTTTTTTTTTTTTTTAAGCTTTTAGAGATTGGATAAATTCCACTTCAGTCAAAAATTTTTATTTATTTCAATATCTCTTTCCAACTCGAGGTCAGACGCATTGGTAGGACTCCATTATTTTTTTTTTCAAAATGTTAATGAATTTGGAAGGATTTTAAATACCTATACCTTATCTCTGCTTTTACTGAAGAAGAATGCCACCAAAGTCAGACCATTTTACTTGGCAGGCAAACCTAAGCAACGTTTTTGTTTTGCAATTCATGGAGTTGACCTGCCTGAAGGAACACTGAGCTTACAACGGGGGTATAACCGCCTCCTGTGTGATGGTGCCCTGCCAGCCTCCCTGGGAGGTGAGGGGTCGGGTCATGCCTGCCTCTCAGGTAGTGGAGAGGCTCCCTTTCCTGCTCAAATGAAGGGAAAGGGTGCTTGTTTTACGGGAGAGGGGATTGTTGTTAGGTGGGCAAATGGATCCTTTTTCTTACAATTAGTTGCCATTATTCATTTTATTATTTCCATGATGATGAAGTTTGTCAGATCCCTTCCAAATTTCTCTACAAGCACCTATGTTTTGATAAGCATTATTTAAACACACACACACACACACACACACACACAAACCTTTTAGCTTAAAGATTTGGTAGAAAAATCAGAAAATACAGATTACAAAGGAAGAAGTTTTAAAAACACCTATAATTGCATCCCCAGAGAGGGAAACACTGCCACTACTCACTCCTGTGGGACTCTCATGGGCCCAGTTCCTACTTTATTTTGTGCAAAGACTTCCCCTCAGACATCATTTTTCACTAGATGTGATCATATTGCATGCACTGTTTATTTTTAAAAATACTTTTAAAACTAAGCATGATTTTGTGGACATCTTTCGATGTTAATATATCTATACAGGCAGACCTCGTTTTACTGCATTTTGCTTTATTGTGCTTCACAGATACTAATATATATATATACATTGAATGTTTGTGACAACCCTGCATCAACCAAATTTACTGGCACCATTATCTAACGGCATTTATTCACATGGCATCTTTAGTAATTTTTGCAAATTTTCAAGCTCTCCATCAGCAAAAATGCTTATGAGTCAATGAAGACTTAGATGATGTTATGATTTTTTAGCAATCTGTCCTTTGCTTAGTCGCTCGGTCATATCCGACTCTTTGCGACCCGTGGACCGTAGCCCTCCAGGCTCCTCTGTCCATGGGGGTTCTCCAGGCAAGAATACTGGACTGAGTTGCCTTGTCCTCCTCCAGGGGATCTTCCTTACCCAGGGATCGAGCCCAGGTCCCCCGCATTGCAGGCGGATTCTTTACCATTTCAACCACCAGCAAGAAAGTATTCTTAATGGTTCACTCAAACCATTCCTTAATATTGAACAAAAAATCCATGATGTGGATGAGGATTTTTCCATTTTCTCTCTTATTAAGCACTGGTTCTTTTAAGAGGGTAACAAAATGTTTTATGTACTTTGTTTTCTTAGACATAATGTATTACATACTTAATAGACTACAGTATAGTGAAACATAACTTTTGTATGCACTTGGAAGCCAAAATATTAGTGTGAGCTATATTAATTAAGGTATTTGCAGTCTGTAACTGAACTTGCAATATCTCTGAGGTATGCCGATATTCATATCCATATTTATATTTATCTATATACTTTTATCCTGGAGAAGGAAGTGGCAAGCCATTCCAGTATTCTTGCCTGGACAATCCCATGAACAGAGGAGCCTGGCAGGCTGTAGTCCATGGGGTTGCAAGAGTCAGACACGACTTAGTGACTATACCACAATCATACACTTTTATATCATCCTAATGATATAAAACACTCTCCATAGATTCTTAAGTTCTCTCAAATCATCCTTTAACATTGGACAAAAATAATCCATGATATGGGCAAGGATTTTTCTTTTTTCTCTCTGATCATGCTCCAGTTCCTTTAAGAGGGTAGCAGACTGTTTTATCAAACATTCATTGTCTACTCTGCATCAATCACTGTGCTGTGGGCTGGGAATGCAAAAATGAAAAGGACAGTCTGTGTGCCCTTGAGAGGACCATACTCTTCTACAGAAGATAAATGTCATAAATAGATCATTACAATAACTGCTCTAGTAAATGTTGGAAGTATATCATCCCTTCTAACTTATTTTAAAGCTTTATAAGTTGATAGACTAATATAGACTTCCTGATGACTCAGCAGTAAAGAATCCCCCTACAATGCACTAGACACAGAGACATGGGTTCGATCTCTGGATTGGGAAGATCCCCTGGAGGAGGAAATGGCAACCCACTCCAGTATTTTTGCCTGGAGAATCCCCTGGCCAGAGGAACCTGGAGGGCTATGGTCCATGGGATCGCAAAGAGCCAAACACGACTAATTGACTAAGCACATCTATGTCAGGCTAACATAGGCACAGAGGATTTGTGTGTGTGTGCCAATAAAGCAATACTTTTATTTTTATAAAAGAAAAGGAATGAAAGGAATGTTGGGCTTTTGTTTTTCTTCTGGTCCAAGATAAAAAAAAAAAAAGATGGACTTGTTCTGCTTTGATCATGAAGAAGGCATGCTTTCTTCACCCCATGGAAGGGCACTTCCTTCTGGATCACCATTTAACTTATTTCTGAAGGTATCCTTGTCCTTGCCTCCTTGTTTTTAAGAGGTTGGAAGAGGATTCAGCGTTGGGTTTTGACTGATGCAGTCTCTAGCCTTTTTAGATCACCTTAGAGTATTTGTACACGTGTCTCTTTAATGCTGTGGATGAGCAGGGACGTTAACATTAAGCTGTGATGTCTAACAGAGTGCTCTGAATTTCCACCCCTTTTCTCTCCTACTTGCTTTCCTTTCTGTGGTGGCGATGGCCGTTAGGTTGGTGTAGACAGCAGTGTTGACATCCTTGATTGTCCTCTGACTGTAAGTCCCCACGTTCCCAGCACTCAGCAGGCCCTGCGCCCTCATTCTGCTCCTGTCCAGCCCTGCCTGTGCACCCCCGTGTACTTCCTCCCCCTGTTCTGAGTTTGCCTTGCTTTCTACAAGTTTATTTTGACTTTGATCAAATTCATGGTTGTGTTTTTAAATCATAACTTAGTTTCTTCTCTACTCAGTAAGAGTCGTGACACTAAAATTACCCCCTCCACCAATAAACGTTCCAGTGACTTCCTGAATATGAGCAGTATTTTTCCTTTTGGATGTCTGTACCCTGATTGCGTTCAGCTGTTTAATTTTCCCTTAGTATCTATTTGACAATGTTTAGAAAGAGCATCTGTAAATCATGTCATTTAATAAAATCACCTGCAAAACCTCTATGCCAGTAAGGTAGGCCAACAATACACAGTCTGCAGAACTGAGGCCCAGGAAGACGGGGTGTGGGCCTAGAGCATAGCGTCTGCCCAGATGTCTGTCCTTTGCTAAAACTTCACTCAGTTCATTTGCATAGACTTAGGCCTTGGGGTATGTACTACTCAATGTGTGGTTTTGCACAGATTCAGATGAAATGGCTTTTAGAAGTCTTAGATCTTTAAACTGATGGCTCTCTAGTATTGGAATCTCCTAGGTGCGGGCATATGTTGCCTTGTAGTAACAACTCTCTGCACATATATATTCTAATAAAAGCCGATGAGCCATTTTGGTGGAGAGCCACTGCTCTCATTTGGAGGGTTTGGTTTTGATTTAGTACTCACCTTTTCCTGGAAGGAAGGAATTCAAAAAAAGAAACAAAAAGAGAAAGAAAGAAGTCACAGGTGACAAATTTCTTTCCTTTGCTTTTGGACATTGCTGTATTATCTAAACAACATTCACAAAGTCAGTTGAGTAGTACGGTCCATTTGAACCCTTTCTTTGGTAAGAAATACTGCTGATATCCAGTTTTGAAGCACACCCCAGAATAAAATCATTTGGGGCCACGTGGAAATGTTTCTAACTGATGCTTGTCTGTCTGCGTGTTTTCTTCCACAGGAGATGGCAAATATTTTGGCTCAGAAGCAATTGCGTTCCATCATCTTAACAGTGAGTACCTGTGTGCTGTGAGCACCTTGTTGGGGAGGAAGGGTCTGGTGGATTTACTGATCTCCTGTTTTGGCTTGGTTTTGTGGTTTGTTCTGTGACTTGCTTCTGTGATCAAGCAGTGGGAAGTAGAAAGGAGGTAAAATTGTGCTTTTGGAAATGGAATAAATAAAGCTTTCCCCCAGGGATGGCCTTGTGATTGGAGGGTGGGGGTCCCTGGAAGAGAGAAACACCTTGTGGCAGGTTTATTATACTCACCAGAGCTTTAGCTTTGTATTTAAGGAAATTAGGGACTTCCTGACTTTAACAAATCCACCAATATGAGCTAATACCATTTTTAATGAGGAAACTAGAGAGAAACATATCAGACTCTGAGAGAAGTCCTGAAATTTTGACCATCATTTTCCTGGGCCATTTTGCTAGAGAAAGGCAGGAAGGTCAGGCATGAAACCCACTCATTCACTATGACGCAAAAAATACCTGAAACCTCAGTCGAGAAGAAGCTCTGCATGTTACGTTGTGAAAGTTTAGAAGTAAATCAAATAGCAAGATTTCCTCAGGCCTTATCTGCTACTTGACTTTTAACTAAAGGCTGAAAGAAACATGTGTGATTGATTCTTCTGCTTACCAAAAAAAAAAAAAAAGAGTAAAGATTTATGTGTGTGTAATTCCAAAAAGGAGTTCTGCAAGCATATAGTTACACACACACACATACACATACATTCCAATATCATGAGGCCATTAAAAATTAAAAACCTTATGAGGGCAAATAAAATAAATACTCTAGATTCCAAAGCCAATAATAATGACTACAATTTGTCATCAAGTTTGATGTTAAACTTCCTCGCTGTTAAGGATAAAGAGAAACCATATGAGTGTACTTTTCATTACTTGATAAAAGGGCTACCCCAGGTCTTTGTAGGATGACATATTTCCACCCCCTGGAACTGGAATCTGAAATGGGTATTGTCAGAACATTCTAATATATTCTTTGTCCAAGAATGGTTTTGTAGAAATTGCAGAGGGATTCAAAATACACTTATTTTTTATACTCGCTCTCAATAAAAGTGGAAGCAACAATATTCATCATAGAGCAATGAAGGTATTTGTGTAGGGGGTGGAGAGTAGGGTGATGAAAGAATAGAAATCTGGAATTACAGTCTTAGCCTGTGGTTGATATCACCTTCGTGTGGCAGTTGGAGTTAGAATGCCCAGAGATGGAGTGGGTGAAATGACTGTAGATACCATGTCTCAAAGATCAGTTTACTTCAGCATGACTTTTTAAATGAGATCTTGATGACTGGAAGTTTAAAGTTGGGTGGTATTTTCTGGCAAGAACTTAGAGTGCAGATACTGTTGAGTTACTAATAAAATAAATAGCCATATGCTTTAGTGCCCATACACTTTGGACACTAAACATGTACCAAGCATTCACATTCTTTTGGGAAGATTAGAGGATATGAGGTTTGATTTTCCCCCATCCCATTGCTTGGCTTCCCACCCTCCAACCCACCTAATTTTTGTTCAGCGACTTCCTTCTATGTCTTGTTCCTCACCCCACCTCTCCTTTAGTTGGCTGTTTCATCATGGTGCTCAGAGCCGGGCTGTGGAGTCCAGGTGCACGCCAGGTTCAGGGCACCCAGGGAAAATTCCTTGAGACAGCAAGACATGGTTGGGCCTAGTAATTCAAAATAACTCATTCGAGTGGGTGTTTTACCACTTTGACTGGTTGGTTGGCATTTTACAAAGTATTTATTTATTTATTTGCCTGTACTAGGTCTTAGTTGAAGCATGCAGGATCTAATCCCCTGCCTAGGGATCAAACCTGGGCATCCTGCATCAGGAGCACGGAGTCTTAGCCACTGAACCGCCAGAAAAATCTCTGGTTGACTGTCATGTTTAAGGCACAACTGTGGTTCCTGCCAAAGCAGATGCATATTAGGTCCAAGTCTTGAAATCCATTTCAAACCCAGCCCTTGAGGGGACAAAGGCCTACATATTATAGTCTCCTGTCACTCCTTTTATGTTTATTCCATTTTGGTTCTGTTTCTAAGGGGAAGGGTCACTTTCTAAAAAAAAAATTCACTCACTGCATTGTGGGGGTAGTGGTCACTATATAGTGTCCACAGTGAATTAATGACAGATCTGATAGTTACTTTGCCTTTGTGTGATGCTTCTGAAGCTTTCCCTGTTTAGATGTGGGATCACTTCTCAGAGACAGCTGTAGGGTAAGAGGATGGCAGAACTGCTTACAGTACATATGTACAGTTTATCTTTCTGGCAAAGTAAGCAGGCAAGGAGTGCTTCTGTTGTAGAAATCCACAGCTCTCCTCAAGATGCTCTCATTTTAGGCATACCTTCCCTTATATGGCTGTAATAGCCACCAACTTTCCATTTCCTTCCGTACCGCCCCTCTTCCCTGAATGCAGTAGGTCTTTCCTCAGTTCTGGCCTAAAGATCAGGAACCTTACTGGGTCCTGAAATGTAAAGGAAAACTCCAGGGTCACCTGTGCATGCATCTTTCTCCTGAAAGTGTTTCCACCCACCTCCATGCCCTGTGCTTCCAAATGAGGTCTTCTGAGGTTCTACTTTGCATCATGATGGGGGGTGGGGTGGGTAAATTAGGTTACTTGCTGTTACTTTCTTCCTTTGTTTAAAAAAGTTTCACCCATGAACCATCTCCCTAGCATGTCATCCGAGCTCAGCGGGCCATCAACAATGAAATGGCACACCAGCTGTATGTGCTGCAGGTGCTGACCTTTAACCTTTTGGAAGATAGGATGATGACCAAGATGGACCCCCAGGACCAGGTGAGTGCTCATTAGACAACAGTCAGAGCATATGAGGGAAAGAACATCCTTAAAAGTCTTTTCTTGAGCTTCTTAGAAACCAGGAGGCTTTTCATGATGATAATATTATTATCATATCACAACTTAGGGGAATGGATTTAAAATTTAGATGCATCTAGGATCAGAGAGGGCTTCTCTGACAGCTCAGTGGGTAAAAACTCCTCTCTCAATGCAGGAGACACAGGAGACAGGGGTTCAATCCCTGGGTCAGGAAGATCTCCTGGAGTAGGAAATGGCAACCCACTCCAGTATTCTTGCCTGGAAAATTCCATGGACTGAGGAGCCAGGCAGACTACAGTCCAAAGGGTCGCAAATAGTTGGACACGACTGAGTGACTAAGCATGCATAGGATCATAGAATAAAATAAATTAATTCTTTTGTTATGCATCAAACACATGCATACTCTTTCCTTGTTGGATAAGAAAGCCTGACGTTGCATAACTACAAACACTGATAGCTTGGAATCAAGGCCCCGGGACACAGAGCCACTTGGTAGCTCTGTGTGATGTGACTTCTACAGGCTGAGAGAGTATTTCCATTCTCCAGTGGTCAGAGCCAGGGGTGGAGGTCCCAGGTTACATCTGATTTCTGGGCTTCCATTTCCGTCAGTTGGCTCTCTGCTGTAGATCTCTCTAGGTCTCTGGCTGTTGTGCTTGAGAGGTTAAGTCTTGATCCAAAAGGCTCTGGGGGAACTTTACTGTATGAGGGCAGAGTGAGAGGAAACAGCTGGAAGCGCTGCTGTAGCATATTTGCAGCTTAAACAGCGCTGCAGCTTTGGAAAGGAAAACACTCGTTATTGGCACGTGAGGGTCTGATCTCTGGCAGATGTGGACACACATGCGAAGTGTGTAACTGCCGCAGCACTTCATTCGTGGCGTGAGGCCACGCGATTAAGAATGATCCAGAGGCTTCCAGCGGCCGTCTGATGTGCCCCACGCTTCTGGCAAGGCCAAGTGCAATCATCACAGAGAGATGAGACTGCCTTATGACTTCTAGTTTGAGAAGGCAATGCGTCCAGAGGTGGAACAGCCCTCCCCTTCTTGGAAACCTCCTCCTTTTTATGTAAAAGATACATGCCTTTTTCTTATTGTGGTTAAACATGCATCACAGAACCTTTACCATTTTAACTGTTTTTCAGATTTGTCTCCATGAAGTCACTCAGTGGAGTTAGGGATCCCTTATCACTTACCTAATGTTCTCAAACCTTACGTGCCTCTCACTTTATTTCTGATAGTACAGGACTTCAAGATCCTCCAACTTCGCTTTTTCCAATCACAAGCCTTCCATCATATTTGGGGCTTTCATTGAGAACGTCACAGGGCAGTTGATGCCAGAGCTCCAAGGGGCTTGGCCATGAGGATAACTGTGGAATAAAGCCAGGGCTGACCAGCAGGGAGAGTGGCAGGAGGGGAAAAAAAGTTCACAGAGCTGTAACTTAGAACATTGTTTGCCTTTTATCTGTTTCCCTTTTGCCTGTACCCAGTGATTCATTTAGACCCTGGGGAATGAGGGAGTAGATGAAACGTCACAGAATGAAGACAGCTCTCTCTCACTCCCTTTTTTCCCTTCCTAACCCCTTCAGGCTCAGCGGGACATCATATTTGAACTTCGAAGAATTGCTTTTGATGCAGAGTCTGAACCAAATAATAGCAGTGGCAGCATGGAGAAGCGCAAGTCCATGTATACCCGGGATTATAAAAAACTTGGCTTCATAGTAAGTAAGACATCTCCAGTAAGCCCTCTCCTTCCAGCACCCGGGGGCCTGACCTCAGCCACATAAGCGAGGTCTCCTCCGAGCCTGTGGTCCTCCTGTGCCTTACAGAATAGTTTCCACATTTTCCAGATGTTTAGCTGATTTAAACAGGATCACATGAAAATCTCTTCTGGCTGCAGCGGAATGGAATAACTTGTACAAGTGTGACTAATACTGAGTTTGTTTATTCAGTTCTGATTAAGTGTAACCAAGAGTAGTTAGCCCGGAAAGCATCTAGACTTGGTTAGATCTACTTCACAGGAGGCTGAAGATTCTATTTACATGAAATGGGTGATGGCAACTGTGGCAGAAACCTTATTTGGGGCTGGTGACTGGGTTATTCACATATGTCGATTCCATATCAAAATCAGATTGAGAGTCTCCTGAAATTTAATCATGGTGTGACATGCAGTTTATATTGTCCTAAAACTTTTGTCTTGCTATGGATGCTAATTAGTTACCACTTAGATTTTCTTTTTACTTAGTTTGCAGATTGGAACACAGCCTTGTCCTGAATATAATCTGTTGTTTTTGTTTCTGCTTCCGGTCCATTTTTGCTTTTATCGTTATCACATTTCTGTATGACCTTTGGCTTCTTAACCTCAAATTCTGCAGGTGTAAATTTGGGTTTCTTTCTACCTCCTTCATAACCAACATAAATGAGACTTTTGTCTTTAGTAAATAGAAATCATTGGGCATTATTTTATAACTCAAATACTCTTTCCTTGAATATACATACACACACTAATATTAATATTCATTTGTACACATTGGTATTTATGCTTTATTGTTATTTGGAAAACCTTGTCTTTTGTGGGAATTCTTTGAAAATGTTTCCACATCAGTTATATGCATTGTTCTTCATTATTGAAGAGCTTTTATTATATGAGTGTACTACAGTTTATTTAGCCAAGCTCTTTTACTGAGTATTTCAGTGTTTTAAAATTACAGGTAAGTCTACAATTAACATCTTTGCCTCTCAGTATTGATGTACATCCTTGATCATGTCATTAGGATAAATCCATGGAACTAGCATTTCTATGATATATATTTTTAAAGCTTTTGATATCATCAAATTGCTTTCCATAAACACTGGGTAATTTCCATTTTAACCATTGGTGCATCAGAGTAACTTTTTAATAAACCTCTCCAATAGTATTTGTAAAACTAGAAAAAAAACCATAATAATTTGATGTTATGCCTTTTTTACTGGTAGTCTTAACATGCTTTTTCTAATAAGAACACTTGTGAAGCATTGTATTCAGCTTTGCAGCTTGCTTTACAGAGCTTCATTTTTATGCTGTCATATCCCAAATTTTGACTTTGACATTCCATTTGATCTTTTAGCTGACTCTGTTTTTCTAAATTTTAGCAAAAAACTCCAAGACTGATGGAGAGGTGAGAGTCCCTGTGCTTGATGTGTGTCAATGATCAAGGTTCCAAGGTGGCCCCGGTCCTGCTCTCACCCACCTGTGCGTTGGCAGACTCTGTTTACTAAGGAGTTAGCTGTGGAATTGTGGATGCAGCTTGCATGCTACCTCCCTACAGTTCCTTCCAGGTTTTACTTTAATGTGTTGAGTGAGGAAAGTGAAAGTGAAAGTTAGTCGCTCAGTCGTGACCCCATGGACTGGAGCCTGCCAGGCTCCTGTGTCCATGGAATTCTCCAGGCAAGAATACTTGAGTGGGTTGTCAATTTCCTTCCCCAGGGGATCTTCCCGACCCAGGAATTGAACCTGGGTGTCCTGCACTGCAGGCAGATTCTTTACCTTTTGAACCACCAGGGAAGACCCATGTTGAGCCAGAAGTCATATGCAAATCACCTAGGAAGTTGTGCAAAATCATCCAATCTCTTACCCGTAGGTCTTATCAGAGTGGCCAGGGAAAAGACCTAGGTGTGTATGTTTCGAACTGCTTCCCCTTGATCCTGATATTCCATCCCGGAGGGGAGCCTGGTGGTAGGGTACACCTGAGTTACTGCCAGTTCATCTTCCTCCTTTTGATACTACCTGGATTTCTAGTGCATTTGAACAATGTGGAAAATGCAAAGTGAGCTCTTTAAACATACTGATCCCTGGACACAGTGTGTCTCTGACCCAGGTCCTAGTGGTTTTTGTCAGGGGCAGTTGGGTCCCGGAACACACAGTGTCATCTCTTGTCCTGGGCATGTGTCTGAGGGACGGAGGAGAGAGGGAAGTTGAGGAAAGACCGCTCGGTAGGACTTGGATTATCCCAGCTTTTTGTGTTACTGCAGGTCTCTAGGAAGGATAGACTTAACGAGGGTGGGAGGTATGAGACACCTCCTTTTTTATTTCCATGCTCTGGTCCTGTGTGAAATCTCCAGGGTATCCCACAAGCCAAACTCTGAGTGATTTTTCTCGCTGGAGCTCCATCTGTCTTAACACGATTGATAATTCCTTCCATAGTTGGCTTCTGGGGTCTGTCTCTGTGTTAGTTTTCAATGTCTGCTGAGTGTTTTTTGCTTTGTGAGTACTTTATGAAGAACGTTGCATTTTTAAAGTAGAAGTTAATTTGATGTGGTTTTAAGGCCTTCAGCACTTATGTGGCCTCCACTCCAAGGATTTGAAAAGTCATTTTAAAAAAAGCAAAGATCTTGAACAGAGAATAACCAAAAGGGAGTGTTGATTTCCTTCATTTTTCCCTGGTACTTTCTTTGAGCTTTCAATTTTAGTCCGTCCTCTGAAACGTCTTCCAGGCCACGATCTTGCATCAGGTGATGGAGAAACTGAAAAGACTAGTTAGTCATGATTTCTAATGCTAGAAATGATGCAACCACTTTCACAAGCAGAAATTTTCTCTTTTGAGTACCTGTCATCAGAAATAGACAGGCCTCAATGGCAACCCACTCCAGCACTCTTGCCTGGAAAATCCCATGGATGGGATTCCATGGACACAGGAGCCTGGTGGGCTGCAGTCCATGGGGTCGCGAAGAGTTGGACACGACTGAGCGACTTCACTTTCACTTTTCACTTTCATGCATTGGAGAAGGAAATGGCAGCCCACTCCAGTATTCTTGCCTGGAGAAGCCCAGGGACGGCGGAGCCTGGTGGGCTGCCGTCTGAGGAGTCGCACAGAGTTGGACAGAGTGAAGTGACTTAGCAGTAGCAGCACTAATGGAAACACAGGCTGGTGGTGCCACCTAGAGGCCATTGTGCAAAACGCAGAAAGCTGGTGGAGAACATCAAGTGTCTGGCCCGGAAAGCTCTGGATGCAGGAAACTTCCTGGTAAAGGATTCTCTCTGTGCTTCCAAAGGAGGAGTAGTAGTCTTGTCTGTAAACTCCTTACCGACCTCCTCCACAGTCTGAGATTTGGGTAACCTTTTGGATCTCTTTGAAGAAAAGTTCAAGTCATATAAGATTGTAATTCCTCTTTTTTACATCTGAGTAGGAAATGTTAAGTGACAAATTTTTGGAGTTGAGTGAGTCTAGACTTTAATTCCATCCTTCCCACTTAAAAAGCCACTTGCTACTAACGAGCCATTTATTAATAACTGGCCAGTCGGGCAGTTCTCTGAGCTTCCCGGGCGGCTCAGTGGTGAAGAATCCGCCTGCAGAGCAGGCGACGCGGGAGGTGGTTCCAGTCCCTGGGTTGGGAACACTCTCTGGAGAAGAGCATGGCAACCCACTCCAGTTTTCTTGCCGGGAAATCCCATGGATAGAGGAGACTGATGGGCTACAGTCCATAGGGTCGCAAGGAGTCGGACACGACCGAAGCGACTTAGCATGCAAGCACGGGGCAGTTATTTAACCTATCTGGGTGTCAGTTTCCTCAGGATGAAGCTGGGCAGGTGCTCTTCTATTTGGCAGCTGCTGGGGGGCCCTGCAAGAGCATCTTTTAGCAACTGGCCTTGCACCTGGCATGGCAGAGGCTCCCAGCCAATGGCACCTCCCTCCCTTTTCGGAGAGCACATATCAAGGAAATCATAGGCAGCTTTTTACGTTTTCCGCAGTGGAGGGGCCGTTGCTCCAACAAGGCAAGAAGAACAGTTTGTTACTGGATAATAAAGCACGACACTTTTGAGAAGGCAGATGGGCCTCACATTTCTTCTCAGCGCAGCCTCCCAACAGAGCAGATTTTTCTGGTGAAATCATTCTAAAGTCCCAATCTGAAGTGGCTAAATGGCTTGTATGGTTAGTCATAACACAGAAAAGCACTTACTCTTAACACAAAGCTACTTATTCTTCCAAGATCTTTTAGTTAATGGTTTCTGAGTTGCAAAATGGACATGCTTGTAGATTCCCTGGTAAGAAGAGGGAGTCAGGAATGTCTGCATTAATACTAATCTTATTGGAACAATACTAATCTTATTGGAACTTCTAAGAACGGGTATGTGTGCTGCTCAATGTGACAGAAGGCAGATTCACATTTTTAGAGTGATTTTATTTTGAAAACACAGGAAATACCTTTATACAGACCATGCCCTATTGACTATAATGACTAGGAACTGTGCAGAATGCTTTGCATACCCTGAGAAGAGTTGAGCTCCTGGCCACAGACCCTTTAGAATGTGACTGTCTTGGTGTCAAATTGATAGCTTCTCTATTTGTGGATTTTACCTTTGTGCAGTCTAAGAGGAGGTATCTGTAGTTCTTTTTTCTTGAGCCCTCTTGGACTAAGGCAGATGTCAAAAAATGGAAAAGAGTGGGTTTTTTCCTTAGTTGCCTTTTTCTTTTTCTTCAGCTTGACTGGGGATAAAATAAGCTCATTTTTAAAAAGAAACTCTTTCTGAACAGCATAATGTGCTTTTAATATGAAGTGTTTTGATAAGCATTTACCTTAACATTTTCAGATGGTCTTAACAGAAAAAAAAGGCTAACATGTGATAGTGAAACAAGGTACTGGGAAAAATATTATTTCAGAATTAAGACCCTTTTAAAATGTAGTTGAGGTATAATAAGGCCAGCTCTTCCCCTACATGATTGTTGTTGAACAGGCAAGTTGT